TTGCAAATGTGGCTGCCACCTCCCCATTCTTCTTAGGGCCCTTCCTCGTGACTGCTGGGCGCTCAGGTTCCTGTTCGTCACCCACCTTGCGCTTGCACGCCTTGCCCTGCACCTTCTTGGTGCTCACCTTTTGCTCTGGCTCATGCTCAACGCCTTCCACATCTAGTGTCTTGCGACGGCCTGCTGGCTTCTTCTGGGGCTTCACGCGTGACTTTGCGTGGGCTTTGGCCTTGGCCTGAGCTTTTGCTTTCACCTTTGCGCGACTCTTCGCCTTGGCAGCCGCGGGTCTCTTCAAAGGCTCAACACCAATGTCATCCTCCGATGGGGGCTCCTCAGGCTCATCCTCGCGCGTCCTCTGCTGCTGCTTGCGTCCTTGCTGCTCCTTCCTCAACACCAACTCCTCCCAGGAAAGAGGACACAGCCTACTTAGTGATCCCTAGAGGGTTTAGGGTTTAGGTTTAGGGTTTACGGTTTAACGTTAATAACGCCTTTTCGGAACAGCTCGATTCACCCGAGCATGAAAGCAATCCGGCCTAGACTCCTGAAAACATTCTTCTAGGTTTCTATAAAGCATGCCTACAGTTAAAAGTTCAAGACCACAAAGCCAACAAGCCGAGCTAGGCTACGAAGCACCTAGCCTTATCACGGGTTGGTCCTGAAAATTCCCCGTCCGCCTGCTGTTTCAGCATCTCAGGCGTCATCCGAGACGAAGCTGGCGAAGCTGCCGAGACTTTCAAAGCAGGTGAGGACGGGCAAGCTTGGACGTTTGCGGCGGGCTTTTTGTTGCAAGGTGAATCAAGATCCTGAAACAAAGCCCCCTTGGGGGTCGGTTGCCCTAGGACCTCCAGGGTGGCTGCTTCCTCTTTGGTCAGAGGGCTCAGCGCTTCGGTTGGGGTAGGCTTGAAGGCTTGCCTGGAGTCAACTTTTTAGGCGTTTCCAGTGAAACCAGTTCAGGAGGGAAGGTGAAGACATGTTGCTTCTCGACCTTGGGGACGCTTGGCTGAGTAGGTGGTATCGGGCTGGCGCTTTTCGGGCTTGGTTGAGTGGCAGGGATTGGGCTCTCTTGCAGTGGGGGCACACTATGGATGGGGCTCGGTTGCGTGGGAGGGATTGGGCTCTCTTGCGTGGCTGTTTGCCTAGCATGGATGGGGCTCGGTTGGGTAGCAGGGATTGCGCTGTCTTGCAAATTCGGAATCCGAGGGCTGAAGTACAATGTGGGCGCAGGGCTGGTTTGCAGGGTCTCAAGACTAGGTCCCGAAATCCTCACGTCCGGCTAGGTGTAGGGGAGGCTAGGTGTAGGGGACAGTGTCGGCGTCGGCCGGGCAAACACCTTGGGTAGGCGACAAACAATGGTAGGAAACTGGATCATCCGCCAAAATACAGTCTAAGCCGCCACCGTCCCAGGAACTCATCACATGCTGCCCCCTCAACTCGGCTCGTCGTTGGGCCAATTGTTGCCTCATTGGTCAAGCCCAGACACAGGCATTGACCCCACACAACCTACTTACCCACCAGAATTAATGACAGTTAATGTCTACCTCAAATGCAAGCTAGAAGGCTCAATCAACTGAAGCTGCTCCTCCAGGCTGGCTTCTGCTGCTGGCGGTGCTGCGATGGAGTCCACTGGCTCGGGCACAGGGCTTGGCCGCACATAAGCAGACATTGGGTCAGGGGTGTTGAAGGGTAGCCCCAAGTTCTCCAACAGCTCCCGATAGGAAACCTCACCACTCTCATCCTTGCGCTCTTCCGCTGCGGGTGCCTTCACTTCCTCATCATTGGGGGCCTCTACCTCCTCGTCATCCTCTAGCTCTTCCTCTTCCTCCCCCTCCTGTGTCACTGGCTCCTCTGAAGCCTCGTCCTCTTTCTCACTGGGTGCCTTCTCTAGATCGCTTTTGGACTTGCGAATCTTTGGGGCCCAATACGGGGTAACAAGTTCGTAGAGCTCTCGCAAGCAAGGATCCTTGGAGGTTGAGGTCACGGCATCAATAATTGTCGGGTACAGCAAAGTTAGAGCACTGGCTTGGATGTTAAAAGACTAGAAAACAAAATAGGGCGTAGACTCCCAACACATAACATGTTTGTAGTGATGCAGCACTAAGTTTCCCTTCGCTTGCACCCGTCATGACGACGGTTAATGATGGAGACCAAGGACCTTATCGCAACACCCTCACAGTGCACGGAAGCCATAGACTCATCCAAGCACAGCTGGTGACGGAACTTCTGCACCTTCAGGGGTCTAGACCATTTTCCCAGGGTTTGAAATAACATGGGGCCACTAAGACTAAGTTGTACAGAGCACTTCCCGCCCCCACCTGTTCTTTGATGATCTCCACATTGCATGTCTTGCCCTCTGGCACTTGGGGCAGGTAGATTTTCAAAAACTCCATCATCACTGGTATGTTCTTTTTAAGCGTTTCCATCGTAACGACACCCACTTGCTTGGGGCCCAGCCACTTTAATAGGGAAGACGAAGCCAAGACCCCCCTTCGGATGCCGTCATGACCCTCCCAAGCTTCCGCAACACCAGTAAGGTCTACCCTCACTTCATCGCCACTCTCCTGCGACTGCCGTCGGCGAGGCATGGCTCACTAGATGAAACACAAGCCCCCTAAGAAAGCCCCGCCAGAGAGTGCACACAGCACTGCCCCCTACAGATTAGATTGACTGCGCAGCTGTGCTAC